ATTACCATACGAGATGAAGTAGGATAATCCTATGCGGGTTATATAAGGACCCCGGATTAGGTAACATCCAGGCTATTAGTAAAAATTTTAGAAAACTATCCAAAATTAGCATGTAACATATGAAGTCACATGTCTTATATGGGTGAAGCTTTTAATTTTTGACATATTATATGTTAAAAATTACCATTGAAATACATTTTTATCCAAAGAACTAAGAAAACCATATTAATATAGTTGTTGGATGTTCTTTAAATAAATCCATATCTGAATCTGCAATTGTGAACAATAATTTAGTGTTTGGTATTAGTAATAAGAAGAGTCATTAGAAAATTTACTTAAAATGGAAAAGAACATAAAACTTTCTATATTAATAACAATTATAATTTAACCCTTGTCTATTTTTATATTTTAGATTTTTTTGCTTTACCAATCATTTCATATTGATATGACATAAAATTGTTTTACCTGATTTTGGATATGACTTGTAAATAAAAATTTTCTGCTATACCCAAAATAGTCACACCACTTATTACCCTTATTCAAAATCGGATATTGATTGTAAATAATCCGGTTCCAATCTCTATCTCAGCTAAAGCCATGCGGTATATATCTATCTACATTTAGTCCAATAAAAATTTTTTTTAATAAATTGCTAGTTTTTTTAGTTAGAATTGGATATAAAAAGCATTTACAATGCTTATATAATACTTATTATATGTGATGATACCATATGCATCAACATATTGTCAACCTTGGATCATTCGAATTATTAAATCTTAATCTGCATCACTTTTGTTTTTTGGAATGTCTTCTATACAATTTCTATGCTCTTTGTTGGCAATATGTGATCTATCAATGAAATAAAGGTTTTTATAAGTCAACAAAATTTAAAGATCTGATCTATAAAAATGATGACTACATAAATATAGGTGCATAAACAGTTTAGCGGTGCAATTTTTAGAAAGGAATCTTTGAAGTAAGATTCATCTATATAAAACAAACTAAATAAGAAAGTGCTTATATTAATAAATAAATAAATTCCTCACTTAAATACGGAAAAGATGAAATTTCTAATGACTCGTTAATCATATTATTATGATCAGATATGAACTATTTTGCCCGTGACTTGTTTTTCGTAATGTTAAAATTTTTTTATAAGCTTCTGTATTGTTTTTGTGTTTATCTTCCACTATAATCTAATTAAAATGAATTCGTTTGTTGCGTAATGATAATTTTCCATTTAAATTAATGCCCTTGGAGTCATTTTGAAATAAATTTGTGAAAAAGTATTATCGTAAATCTGAATATGCATTATTTCATCACATCACGAATACTGCCCAAGTCCTTTGTTATTATAAACACATATATAATTTTTATAAATATATTTATACATCTCATTGTAATATTCAGACCAAAACTCTGCTCATTACTACTAAAACTTAAAAATTTAACAGATTTTGATTTTGATTCTGAATAATAATGTTTGTTTTAACGATGATGGTGATTTACAATAAACTAGTAATTATTCATTTGCTGGACGACTTTGTCGTTTTGGAGTATACTATTATATAATAAATATATAATTTAAAAATATTTGTTTATTAAAATGTTATCAATAATGTTTGTTATTTATTCCTTTTGTTGACGAATTGAATAATTTTATATTTAAAATAAAAAGAAATACAAAGTTGTTGTTTTTAAAATTATTTTTGATAATAAAGTTAGTCTTTTATTAATATTTAAATTTTATTTTTCTCACCCTCTACTCGTTAGTTGTTTTTGTTTTACTAAGACTTTCTAGATTCATTTTAAATATATAGTGAAGGATATATGCGAGAGAAAATATTTTTGAATAATAGATATATAAAAATTTTTTTTTGTTGATACCAAAAAAACTGATCAAATTTATTCGTGAACCCCAGCAACCTGGATATATTGTTTCTTAAAAGCTTCATTTCTTGGTGTTATTATTACTCGGACGATGAAATTATTTATTATGTCAATGATATCATCATAAAGATTGTAAGGAACATGAAAGTATTCACCTAAGATAAATATAAAAATATAAGATAAAAATTTCCAGAGCAATTGCATGGAATTAAAGACCACACCAATTGCGCCATGACATAAATAGAGGGTAGGTTTGTGTGCGATTTGAAATTATTTCGTGCTAATTTAGAGTTCCATATTTTTTTACTTATATAATCTATTGATTCTCCTATTCGAATACGATATTTTCATTCCCTTCATCTGATTTTGGTAATGCAATTATCTTATTAGAGGCCTGCACGAGTCATCATAATTGAATGATTTATCCAACCCGAACCCGTATAAATTTATAATTTGGAAACCGACTTATTATACAAAAAAATTATAAAATCTCAACCCAAGCCCATTTTTTATTAAACGACGTTGTAACAATTTTATTTATAAAAAAATACTATCAATTGTTTGTGGATTTAAACTTGAGTGAAGCTCAGTAACTGTAAGTCCAGCTGCACTAAACTCTCTTTTGTTAGGTGCACTGGAACATGGAATTGAAGGATAATATGTATGTATATATTACATAAAAATTAACATAAGTAAAAAAAAATTTTAAAAAAAAATCAAATTGGCTGCTCAGACACTTTTAGGGGAGTGATTAGTGGCCCTGATAACCTTTCCAGGTAAATTGAACACTGATAAATTTGACATTAACCCTGGAGAAAGGGATTAACAGTTTTCTTTGGTGATTTCAACACGATTAACAGATTCTTCAAATCGCACCTATTATTCCAATAATTAATGCACTGCAGCAAATTTATAACTCTTGCAGAAAAGCATAATCGTAAAAATAGAATGTGTTCTCACCTTACTTATAAATATTTTTTGAATCCCGTCTACCAACTTATCAATATCCTGCAGAATTGTTGGTATCTCAAAATTATCAAACTCAGTCTTCAGTCTTAATTATTCGTTTTATTCGAATAAACATTCAGTGTAATAAAATTCATGATAATATTAATAACGAATAAACAACAACTTTTCAATGATAACATTTGGATTTAAAATATTTACACGAAAAATTGCCACTATTTAATTTATTAGTTTGTAATCTACTATATATATCTTGATATCTCACGACTTCTCTTCATTGATATATGTGACAAACTTTGCCTGAAGCTTTATTTGTTAAGGATCGAGGTTTAAATTATTCAATGATGATGATGGAACTTTCCAATGGTATTAAAATGGCAAAGATGGACAATTCTCTTTTATTTTTTCTTAATAATTCAAAAAATTTCCTTTTTTTCGAAGACTTTAAGTTAAACGTCGCAATGAGCGATCGGCGGCACGTACACGAATTTATTTGTAAGTATTTTAATATTAATATTAATATAAAACAAAGCAATAATAATAAAACAAAAACAGGACAAAACGACGGATTGTTTTCTTCTCAGGATCAGTAAACGTCAATTAATATCAATATTAAATAGCTTGCTTGTTAAACCTTTTTTTTTAATATATATTCAAAAAAAAATTTTTTACAAATGCAGTGGCAGTAGAAAATATTGATTTGTTCCATAACATGATAAATTAATTTTTTTTTACCGCCTTATCAAATTTACAACCCTTCAGTATTAAACTTTCCAATCTTTTATATTCTTATAATGTGCTTGCTTTAGAAACCTTTAATTGAGCAGAGAATATCCAAGTTTTTTAACAAAGGAGCCTGGCTCATTGCAATGTATATTTGTCCTTCAGCAAATATGTTCTCTCATCAACATTCAACAACGCGATTGAGCTTGTTTTATATATGGCACAAATGGCCAGCAATTCGATTCAATTTTTTTGGCTTCCACTAATTACACTGTCAGTTGAAGAGATGGTCTTAATGAAGCACGTAGATAAAAAAATGGATGGTATGCTTTTTTTTATATTCCTTCATTTTATATTCATTTTTATTACTCGAATTTAGAAGGCATTTCTTAAACTAAAGCTTAATTCTATTTTAAGAAATTTATTTTTATAAATTAATTAAAATATTGAAACATTTAACAGTGGCTTTTTTAATTATTTAAAACCATAAGTTTATCTATTATTATATAAATCAAAGGGACGGAAGGGATGTAATTCATAGTCAGCTTAAGCTTTTTTTTATTGGTCCGACATCTTTTCTTTCTTTTATTATAAATAGAACTTCCATCCGTTTAAAAAAAAAAATTTGGCAGCGCTTAACTTAACTTAACGTTAGCATTAACATTAACGTAAATGATGATGTTGACGTTGATAACTTTAACTTTAACTACTCTATATAACACAACGCAATTATTTTCGTAACACTTGAAATTTCCTTTTTTAAACAAATTCTATATGAAAAAAAATGACCAAAAATCTCCTTTTTTAAAGTTAAATACGTCGCACTAAATTAAATTCATCATATTCTTTCGTTAAGTTAAAATAAAATAAAACTATTTGTTAGTAATAGCCGGTTCATTCTGACTCACCACATAATCAATATTTATTGTTACCATCAATTAATACGTTCTCCCAAATAATACTTGGTGACATCAAGTATTACAATAATAATAAACATTTATATCTAATAATAATTTTGTTTAACATGCAATATATCCAGAGCAACAAAAGGTCTACTAAAAATTTTGAACACTGTGACTTTACGTTCACTTTACTGGGTTGGAGTATGCCCCATATTTGATTGTTCAATTTACCATGTTTGTCTTTAACTGTTGCATCCAAAACAGAAGATGCAAACTTGGCACCTGCCATATTTTGGTTTTCAACAATAATTAGTTGAAAAAGCTAGTATAAAAATGTGATAACACAATTAATTTCACCCATTGAAATTTTTGTCGCCAGAGTTAAATTTGGAAATTATTGTTGTGTATTAGTATGCAAATCCGCCCATCGTGTGATTTTCACATCGAAATTACGATAATCATCCATTCATCAATTCTTCGTTGTTCTTTTCAACTTTTCATTGCAAGAAACTCAAAATTATGACAAAAAGTAAAAGTACTTCTTGTGCTCCTATTGATACAACAGACAGACTGGCAAAACTTCGAGCATTATTTAAAGAAGAAAAATATAACTTGGCAGCTTAGTTAGTGATATGTTGCGAGAAAAAAGACTTATTTTTATATTGAAATTAAATCAACTGTTTTACAATTTTTTTTTTTTTTGTTGTAGTGTCATCCCTTCTGAAGATGCTCACCAGGTACATAATAATAATAATAATAATATTATTATTATTAAAATCACTATTATCATGATAATTCATCATCAATTATTGATCCAATGTTAATAATAATTCATATTATTTACTTCAACAATAAATATCAGAGTGAATACACAGCTTCACGTGATGCTCGAAGAGCTTTTATTTCTGGTTTCACAGGTTCTGCAGGGCTGGCTGTCGTCACAACAGATAGTGCTGCAATGTTCACTGATGGACGATATTTTTTACAAGCAGGCCAACAGATGGATTCAAATTGGACTTTAATGAAACAAGGTTTACCTGATGTTCCTACATGGCAAGAATATTTAACACAGGTAATCATTATTAATTTGTTAACAATTTATTTATTTATGTGAAGCATCATTTTATTTGATCAATCATTTTTATAATATAGAATATTCCTAAAGGTTCCAGAATTGGGATTGATCCACAACTTATTTCCACATGTGAGTAGGTTAATTAGATGATTAGGTGATTAAAATTGTTATAAAAAGAATTGTTACATATCTTTTATATAAATATAAAATAATATAGCTGATGCAAAAAGTTTAAATGAATCATTGGGAAGAATCGGATCAAAAATGGCATATATTGATGATAATTTGGTAGACTTGGTATGGGGTGATGATAGACCACCATTTCCTAAAAATCCTATAACTGTTTTACCATTAAAATATGCTGGTATATTTATTTTTGGGATTTTTATTTTGGGCGAATGATTAATCATTTAATTTAATTATTTATTTATTTATTTAATTTAATTATTTAATTGATTGCTTACTTGTCCAATTTATTTAATAGGTTGTTCACGCAATGAAAAAATTGAAAACCTTCGAGAAGAACTTTCAAAGGGGAATTATCATGGATTTGTTATCTCAGCACTCGACGAAATTGCTTGTAATATAATAAAATATATATATTATTATTATTATTTCAAAATATTCTAATTGAATTATTATTAACTCTTATAAAATATATAAATAATAATATAGGGTTATTTAATCTTCGTGGATCAGATGTTCTTTATAACCCAATATTTTTTGCATATTCGCTTGTTACAAAAAATGATATTATATTATATATTGAGGATTATAAATTAACACAAGAAGTAAAAGAAGAACTTTCGAAATCTGGCATAAAATTTAAACCTTATAATGCAATTTTTGAAGGTTTAAAAAGTTTACAAGTTAATTTGAAGAATGATAATCAGGTTGTTTTTCTTTTCTTTTTAGTTAAAATATTTTATTGAATGATCTCAATGAAATAACAAAAACACTAATATATTTATATTTATAATATAATAGAAATTGTTAATCAGTAATAGAGCGAGTTATGCTTTAACAATCGCAATTGGCGAAGTGAGTGTTTTTTATTTATAAAAATAATATATTACTATTGTCACAAAAGCATTACTTGTTTACCTTTTTTTAAATAAATATAATGCAGGAAAATGTCGAGGAAGCTCGTTCTCCAGTAACAGATGCTAAAGCAATTAAAAATGAGGTTGAGTTAGAAGGAATGAGAAAATGTCATTTACGTGACGCTGCTGCATTGGTAGATTATTAATCTTATAATATTAACAATGGTTTTAATCATGAAATGATTTTTTTAATGATATTCTAATTTTTATTTGAAAATAGATTAATTATTTTGCATGGTTAGAAGAACAATTAAATGCTGGAGCAGTATTGAATGAAATCGATGGAGCAGATCGTTTAGAAAAATTTAGAGCGTATGTATTATGTAGTTTATTATTAGTAGTAATATCCTTTTTTTAATATTTTTTTTTTATTGAGGTAAAGTTTTTTATTTATAGGGAGCAAGAAGATTTTGTTGGACTTTCATTTGATACTATTTCATCATCTGGACCAAATGGTGCGATTATACATTATAAACCAGAACCAGAAACATGCGCTATAATTGATCCAAAACTTTTATACCTTTGTGATTCTGGTGGACAATACAAGTAAAACTAAATGTTATTATTTATTGATCAATTTTTTATCTCAAGCTATAATTATATAGTATGTAATTATATAAATAATAGAAATGGTACTACTGATGTGACACGTACTATACATTTTGGTAAACCTACTGAGCAAGAAAAACGAGCTTTTACGCGTGTTCTTCAAGGTCATATTGCTATAGACCAAGCTGTTTTTCCAAAAGGAACAACAGGTAAAAAAAAATTTTATTTTTTATATGACTTGTAAAAAAAAAAGATATTATATATAATATATTTGAATAGGATATCTATTGGATGTTCTTGCTAGAACGTCTCTTTGGAAAGATGGTTTGGATTATCGGCATGGTACTGGTCATGGCGTTGGATGTTATTTAAATGTACATGAAGGTAAATAAGAACAAAAAAAAAAGTTGAAATTTTTTCCATTTTTACAAATTATATTTAATATTATATCTATATATATATATGTGTGTGTTTTTTTTAGGTCCTCATGGTATAGGAACCAGAATAGCATTCAATGATGCACCACTTCAAGTTGGTATGACTGTAACAGACGAGCCAGGTTATTATGAGGATGGTAAATTTGGTATTCGTATTGAAAATGTTTTATTAGTTCGTCAAGCAGAAACTCCAAATAATTTTGGTGATCGTGGCTATTTTGGTTTTGAACATATTACACTTGTTCCAATTCAAACAAAACTAATTGACACTACTCTGTTAAGTCCTTCTGAACACAAATGGATTAATGATTATCATAATGATTGTCTGGAAAAAGTGAAACCTTTTTTGGAACCTGGTAGTTTAGGATTGAAATGGTTGGAAAGAGAATGTGCTGCTATCTGATTCAGCAAAAATATTATTAAAAATTTCAATTATAATTATTGTATATTATATACGTGTATTAGTAAAACATATCACAAGTATTTTATAAATAAATTTATACCCTGACTGGGTTTAAAACGACTATTCCGAAATTATGTGATGAGCCATCCGAGGATGGATAAAAAATTATCATTATATATATATATTGCAATGATGCAAGAAGAATTATAATCATGGAATGTTATAATTTGAATTAGAATTTTACTTGATTAAACTACTTGTTTTTTCCGTATATTTCTTTCAAAATAAAAATGTCTCTTCTTTTTTACAAATTAAAATTATACACACATATAAGTTGTGTTAAATTGATGTTTTTTCGAATTTTGACTTTGAAGTTAACTACGCGTACTAGTAATACACAGTAATAAAATAAAAACGCGCTAGAGTTGTTTTTAGTATCTGAGTTTGAAGCAACACAGGTTGATCGATATTGGTACCTAGAACGATCTTTACATAGCACATAAGACATATTTGGTTTCTTCTATTTTTATCACTTTTAAATCATCAAAGAATGCCGAAATTCTTTTATTGTTGAATCACGATAAATCAATTACTAAAGTCTGGTGATGATAAAGTTGTTCTTTAAATAATGCAATTTTCGTTTTTCAAGTTGTATCATCAATTAATCTTGTTATATAGTAAAAAAATGTTGTATGAAAAAGTTGTTTGTTACACGCTATTCACTTTCTCTGCAAAAAAAAAGGAAATAGCGTAACTGTTATTAAGTCGAATTTTATATTTTATATTTTTATATAATGTCGCATGTTAGATTATTATCATCATTATCATCAGAAAGAGAGACATTTGTATATAAAATTTGTAGTGGAATGTTTAATAATGCTAATGCTAATTCTGATAGAGAAAGTAGAAAAGATTATTTTTTTTCATTGGTCAAAAAAAACAAGGAGCTTTCTGAAAATGAAAAAGAATATTGTAAAGAAGAATTTGTTTATAATTTTGAATTAAATAATGCAACAAATAAATGGGGCAAACCAAAAGAATGTAACAAGTGTAAATTAACAAGATACTCTGATAGGTTCTGTGAAGGTTGTATTAGCTTACAATTACAGAGTCTTTTCACCACTTGGACATCTGGAAATAACATAATTGATGATTTTATTCAACAATGTCAAAT